GGCGCGGACATAAAGAGATCGACAGCTGTGAGACTTGAACTCACGCGGGTTACCCCAATAGATTTCGAGTCTATCGCCTTAACCGCTCGGCCAAGCTGTCCTAGCATCCACGACACCACCCTCACCGCGCCGCAAACTTAAACACGCCACAGCACACAAACCACGCCTCCAACGCAGCCGCCGCAAGCTGTACCAGCACCGCACTCCTCTTGGCTACGCGGCCAGCGCACACGATCCTCCGGCCACGCCGCCTGGACGCCCTGGCAGCCCCACAACTCTGCACCGCTCCCACGCTTTTGCTTCGCCCACCGACGCGCCCATACGACTGGCCGGAGTCCGCGACAGCCGCCCGGACACCGCGCCGGCCTCCAGACGGCGTAAAAGCGATGGGAACGAGCAGCAGGTGGCGCGGACATAAAGAGATCGACAGCTGTGAGACTTGAACTCACGCGGGTTACCCCAATAGATTTCGAGTCTATCGCCTTAACCGCTCGGCCAAGCTGTCCTAGCATCCACGACACCACCCTCACCGCGCCGCAAACTTAAACACGCCACAGCACACAAACCACGCCTCCAACGCAGCCGCCGCAAGCTGTACCAGCACCGCACTCCTCTTGGCTACGCGGCCAGCGCACACGATCCTCCGGCCACGCCGCCTGGACGCCCTGGCAGCCCCACAACTCTGCACCGCTCCCACGCTTTTGCTTCGCCCACCGACGCGCCCATACGACTGGCCGGAGTCCGCGACAGCCGCCCGGACACCGCGCCAGCCTCCAGACGGCGTAAAAGCGATGGGAACGAGCAGCAGGTGGCGCGGACATAAAGAGATCGACAGCTGTGAGACTTGAACTCACGCGGGTTACCCCAATAGATTTCGAGTCTATCGCCTTAACCGCTCGGCCAAGCTGTCCTAGCATCCACGACACCACCCTCACCGCGCCGCAAACTTAAACACGCCACAGCACACAAACCACGCCTCCAACGCAGCCGCCGCAAGCTGTACCAGCACCGCACTCCTCTTGGCTACGCGGCCAGCGCACACGATCCTCCGGCCACGCCGCCTGGACGCCCTGGCAGCCCCACAACTCTGCACCGCTCCCACGCTTTTGCTTCGCCCACCGACGCGCCCATACGACTGGCCGGAGTCCGCGACAGCCGCCCGGACACCGCGCCAGCCTCCAGACGGCGTAAAAGCGATGGGAACGAGCAGCAGGTGGCGCGGACATAAAGAGATCGACAGCTGTGAGACTTGAACTCACGCGGGTTACCCCAATAGATTTCGAGTCTATCGCCTTAACCGCTCGGCCAAGCTGTCCTAGCATCCACGACACCACCCTCACCGCGCCGCAAACTTAAACACGCCATAGCACACAAACCACGCCTCCAACGCAGCCGCCGCAAGCTGTACCAGCACCGCACTCCTCTTGGCTACGCGGCCAGCGCACACGATCCTCCGGCCACGCCGCCTGGACGCCCTGGCAGCCCCACAACTCTGCACCGCTCCCACGCTTTTGCTTCGCCCACCGACGCGCCCATACGACTGGCCGGAGTCCGCGACAGCCGCCCGGACACCGCGCCAGCCTCCAGACGGCGTAAAAGCGATGGGAACGAGCAGCAGGTGGCGCGGACATAAAGAGATCGACAGCTGTGAGACTTGAACTCACGCGGGTTACCCCAATAGATTTCGAGTCTATCGCCTTAACCGCTCGGCCAAGCTGTCCTAGCATCCACGACACCACCCTCACCGCGCCGCAAACTTAAACACGCCACAGCACACAAACCACGCCTCCAACGCAGCCGCCGCAAGCTGTACCAGCACCGCACTCCTCTTGGCTACGCGGCCAGCGCACACGATCCTCCGGCCACGCCGCCTGGACGCCCTGGCAGCCCCACAACTCTGCACCGCTCCCACGCTTTTGCTTCGCCCACCGACGCGCCCATACGACTGGCCGGAGTCCGCGACAGCCGCCCGGACACCGCGCCAGCCTCCAGACGGCGTAAAAGCGATGGGAACGAGCAGCAGGTGGCGCGGACATAAAGAGATCGACAGCTGTGAGACTTGAACTCACGCGGGTTACCCCAATAGATTTCGAGTCTATCGCCTTAACCGCTCGGCCAAGCTGTCCTAGCATCCACGACACCACCCTCACCGCGCCGCAAACTTAAACACGCCATAGCACACAAACCACGCCTCCAACGCAGCCGCCGCAAGCTGTACCAGCACCGCACTCCTCTTGGCTACGCGGCCAGCGCACACGATCCTCCGGCCACGCCGCCTGGACGCCCTGGCAGCCCCACAACTCTGCACCGCTCCCACGCTTTTGCTTCGCCCACCGACGCGCCCATACGACTGGCCGGAGTCCGCGACAGCCGCCCGGACACCGCGCCAGCCTCCAGACGGCGTAAAAGCGATGGGAACGAGCAGCAGGTGGCGCGGACATAAAGAGATCGACAGCTGTGAGACTTGAACTCACGCGGGTTACCCCAATAGATTTCGAGTCTATCGCCTTAACCGCTCGGCCAAGCTGTCCTAGCATCCACGACACCACCCTCACCGCGCCGCAAACTTAAACACGCCACAGCACACAAACCACGCCTCCAACGCAGCCGCCGCAAGCTGTACCAGCACCGCACTCCTCTTGGCTACGCGGCCAGCGCACACGATCCTCCGGCCACGCCGCCTGGACGCCCTGGCAGCACCACAACTCTGCACCGCTCCCACGCTTTTGCTTCGCCCACCGACGCGCCCATACGACTGGCCGGAGTCCGCGACAGCCGCCCGGACACCGCGCCGGCCTCCAGACGACGTAAAAGCGATGGGAACGAGCAGCAGGTGGCGCGGACATAAAGAGATCGACAGCTGTGAGACTTGAACTCACGCGGGTTACCCCAATAGATTTCGAGTCTATCGCCTTAAAACTTTAAGTCGTCGAGACTTGGGTGGAATGCGTCTCACGCTAGCGTGTCGAGTAGTCCGGAACCCATGGACCTCAGCTATGCTGAAGACGAAGAAGCCGGGCTTCGTGTTGCTGAGCAGCGTTGCGGTATCTGTAGATGCTTCATCTGTGGTGACATCCGTCACCTTCGTGCTGGGTGTCCGCTGCGCCATCAGCGCCAGGCTTCGTCAAGCCGCTCTTCGAGTTCGAGCCAGGGCTCTGGTTTGTCTCGGGGAAACGAGAAGTCCCAGTAGGCGCGGGCGGCCTACTGGGGAAGAACTAAGCTCTATTGAGCCTCGGCGAGGTGGAGGTCGACAGGACTTAGCCCCGAAGAGAGTACGGCTCTCTAACACGGAACGTGTATGCAAGCCGGGCTTGCTAGTTGTCCAAGCTTGGGTGAAGGGCTTCACGAAGCCATGGACGATTTTGATCGATTCGGGAGCGTCGGGTAACTACGCCCGGCGTTCTACGATGGACGGAAGTCAGCTTTATGCTGAGGCGCTGGTAGCGCGCGGGAGTGACATCGTCACTGTTCGTCTCGCGACGGGCACTCGTGTCACGGTGCCTAAGGTCCATGTGGACCTGGGCGTGAAGGTTTTGGATTTTGATAGCGTGGAACGCTGTTTGGTCATAGACCTCGATTCGAGATATGATCTCATCCTTGGTATGGCGTGGCTGGAACGCCACGAGCATTGGATTGATTGGAGGTCGAAGACCCTTGGCGCTACGCACTTCTCTCCTGGCGGAGCATTGGCGAGTCATGAACCCACCTCTGCTAGTAAGCAGAAGCGCTTCTGGCGCGAGCACTGGACCGAGTCGGTCAATGTGCTGGACATCGGAGTTTCCGAGTTGGTGGACACTGAGTGTGTCGAGAACGAGCGTTCCGAGCGTGGCTCGCGGACGGCAGGTGGAGCGGCACGAATTCCGCGGAGCGGGTGTGCGCGCCCTGCTGTATTCAAGTGAAGACAAGGTCGGCATGAAGCCGAGGAGTCATGGGCGTGGCCCGGCTGTTGAAGGATGTGGAGCGGCACTAATTCCGCTGAGCGGGCGTGCGTCTGAGGGCGACGCCCTGCTGCGTGCCGGTGAAGGCGCGGTCGACAGGAAGTCGAGTGAAGATGGGCGTTGCCCGGATAATGGATGTGGAGCGGCACTAATTCCGCTTAGCGGGCGTGCGTCTGAGGGCGACGCCCTACTGCGTACCAGCGACGGCGCGGTCGGCACGATGCCGAAGAACAAGGGGCTTTGCTCGGATGAAGATCATGGGGTGGCACGTAATCCACTGAGTGGAGGCTGCGGATCGTGCAGCTCTTCGCTGAGTGTCGGTAAAGACACTGGAGCTCCCCTGGAGCTGAACGAGGTGGTGACACCTGGCGTCAAGACGCACGCGAAATCACGGGGCTCTTCAGGGCGGACGGTTTCCATGAAGAGGAGGCAGCGCCGCAAAGCGCTGACTGCGACACGCAAGGCGTCTGCGATCTCACGAGTCGAGAAGGGCGTGTCGAGCGGTGAGGCTCCACGCGAGAGCGAGCAGCTCTATACACTTGTGAATGGAGTTGTAATGGGCCTACCTTGGCTCACTACTACGGCTTACACGTATGCGCACGTGTATGAGGAAGCGTAGGTTTCTTTTACTTGAGTTAAGTATACTCGAGATCCACGAGTATACTTTAAACAAGATAAAGACTCCAAGTAGCGTGTTTTGGTAAAAGATGAGAACTGCTATTTTGTTTTATGTTTCTGACTTCCTCTAAGCAGAATTCCAATGCTATGCATGTCGCTCATTGGCAAAGAGATGCTGTTCTCAGCCAATAGGAATCCTAAGTCTCTATGGACCACCCGTCGTGGTGGTCGTAAATGTATGTAGCCTTTGGTGTGTCTACACCAAGGTCGAGAAAGTCTTTCGAACCTCTAACAGACGTCGTATCTGTTAGAGTTACAAGTGACTGTAGCCACTTGTGCGTGTAACCCTGTTACACCATCCCCCCTCAACGGCACGTCAATCAGGAAATTGACCATTCGTCAATTCTTCACGTTGGGAGAAAGAAAACTCGAGCTCATTCCGCAATGAGCTCGCCGCAGAAGAAGACCGCCGCCGCAACAGAGGGTAACCTCTCTGTTGCTCAGTACCATGAGCGCCAGCAGGCAAAGCGCGATGCGCTCGCTGCAAAGGCCGCGTCGGGGACAACCCAGTCGGAGATTGTCCTCGAAGGTTCCTCTGTAGTCAACGACGCCGTTGACTACGAAGACGACGACGTGGAGATGGAAGAGGGCGAGGCCTCTTCTAGCAAGCGCAAGGAGTCTATCGACAGCGATAGTTTCGACCCGCATGCCGGGTCGAGACGCCCTCGTGAAGGATACGACTCGGACGCTTCGAGCTCGAAGCGTTCGCGCGGCGAGAGCGACACTCCGCTCTCTGCTGCTGGGGCTTTAAGCTCCCCGCGTGAGGTGGCGTCTTCAAGTTCTCCGCGCGCTGCCTGAGCAGCGCGCGATCCGTGGATGCCGTCCGCGTCAGAGATCGCAGACCGTGTGGGCAACACCGTGCCTCCAAACGAAATCCCGCTGTACGTATGCAGCGGCATCCACGACGATGCTGTGGCGGAGGAGCAGCACTTTGATCCGTTAACGAATCAAAGGCGCGATTATTACATCGGGCTCTTCCACGAGCTCCGGTACTTCTCCAGCAAGAAGACCTCTTCTCGCAGCAAAGTGCCTGAGTGGCAGGCACTTTGTCAAAGTCGGAATGCTTTTGTTGAGAACTTCAACAAGAAACCGGCTGCTTACCACGAGCGGGTTAAGCATGCCCGTGAACGCTTCGAGACATTCTCGACGCGCGGGAGGTTGGAGCAGCTCCACAGATCTTCTGTGGACGCTGGTATTCCATGCGCTGTGCCCGAAGGCCAACAGTGCACGTTGTGTCTTCCGGGTGCGGCGCGCTTGAGCGACCGCGACCTAAACGGGAACACGACGATTCGTGTACCTGCGAGTCTCAAGGATCTCCGTGCCAAGTTCTTGGCACGTGAGGAACGCGACGATCGTGGGACCTCGGGCGCTGTAGGTGACCACAGCGCTCGCACTACCTTCGCGTCGGCAGTGTGTGGTGAGCTTCGTACGCCCTCACCATTTCCGGGACGTCTTCGAGCAAGACGTTCCGCGGCTCCCATGAATCTTGGCTGGGAGGGAATCCTCTCCAACGGATACGAAAACGAACCGGTTGCCTGTTCGTTCTCGGGATACTGTGACCAACAACCCGCTCAACTATCCATCGAGTTGAGCCGTGTGCGTCACGAATTGGCGGCGGTGGTGGTGGAAACACGCCTCGTGTGTGGTCAACTTGGTGTTGACCCTGATCTCACGTCTCCCCACGACCGAGTTCCGGTCGTGGAGTAGTTCCAGAGCGCTGGGTTCGGCGCTCTGAAGTATCCTCAGGTTGCGGCGGCCTCTCAGGCCGCCTCGATCGTTCCGGCCGAGCTGGACCATTAGCTGGACCATTAGCTCGACCCGCTGCTCCAGCGCGACTTCGCGCTGGAGAGGATGACGGCTTCCGCTGAGTCTTCTGTGGTTCAGCCGAGCTAGGTAGCTCGTGCTGCAAGTATGGCTTCAGCCGTCCGACGTAGAACGTCGGATGGAGGCGCATACAAGACGGTATGTCCAGTGTGCAGGCGTTGCCGTGCCGTGCCAACACAGTGAACGGCCCGATGAAGCGCGGAGCGAGCTTGCTCGCCCCGAAGTCGGAAACTGCATGTTTAGGCAGGTTTTGAGTAGCTAACAAAACCAATGAACCCTTCTTGAATTCATTTGTGTTGCCCCTGCCAACGTTGTCTGCGTTCAGCTTCTGTCGATCAACAGAAGCTGCAATAGTGTCTTGGACAAACCGAATGACGGCTTGTCTGCGCTGCACGAAGTGAATTGCGTCCGAGCTGAACTCGTTCAGCTCGCTTCCAGCAGTAGGCCCTGCCTCTGCGTTTGTCTTCGTGGTGTCTGTGCCCTGCACAGACACGTTCTTCTTCTTCTTGTTGGTGTCTGTGCCCCGCACAGACACGTTCTTTATGCGCTTGTCGGCGTCTGTGCCCTGCTCAGACGCGCGGTTCTTGGCTTTACTTCGTGTCGTTGCGGCTGACACTGTGCAACTGTCAGCGGCATTCTGCGGCTGCTGCGTTGCAGTCGGAGATCCTCCCCCACTTAAGGAAGGAGCAACCATCCCGAGGAGACTCGGGAGGCGTGGATGCCTGATGGCATTCACGTAGAATGGTGTATGCCCGGTCGAGGCATGCACCGAGTTGTTGATGGCGAACTCCGCCATCGGCAGGCACTCGCTCCAGTGTTGGAACGAGTGAGCGTAGCTCTTAAGCACGTATATGAGAACGCGGTTCACGCGCTTGGTCTGCCCGTCCGTCTGCAGATGGTCCGCAGTCGACATCGAAAGTTGACTCCCAAGAAGTGTAAACACTTCTTGCCAAAGGTGCGCAGTGAAGCGCGGGTCTCGATCCGACACAATGTCGATCGGCATGCCATGATGTTTAAACACCATGTCGACGAACAGACGTGCGGTCTGCTTCGCAGTCACTTCAGCGGGTACCGCAGCAAGATGTACCATCCTGCTGAAGCGGCCAACAAAGACCACAACGCCCGTGTTCCCCTGACTGTCCGGGGGAAGACCGAACACGAAGTCCAAGACATGGACTGCCAACACTCTCGTGGAGTTGGTAGTGACTGCAAGGGAGCCTGCGCGAAAGGCGCAGGCTTCACACGTTGACAAACCTCGCAAGCACGGACGTACTTGCGCACCCATTTGTACTGGTGGGCCCAGTAGAAGTCTCGCGTGAGAAGAAGGTATGTCTTCTCACGGCCCGGATGCCCCGCAGTCGGTGCATCGTGATACTCATACATGATCCTGAGTCGCAGGTCGTGGCCATTGGGCACGACAACGCGGACCGCGTTGTCGTCGACTGCACTGTAGAGTAATAACCCGTCGTGCACCCGGTAACGGTGTGCACGAGCACGAAGATGCTTCGGCAGCTTCTGACGAGCTTTGTCAGAAGGCGCTGAGCCATAGGCCAGCAAGAGCTTCGCGTCTGCGTCGTGCACGGACGCGACCTTCACGTCGTCCAACAGTGACGACGTTGGGGTGCTCGATCGCATGGCGTCAATGGCATTGACGTCGGCATCAGTCGTGGCGTAGTCAGGTCGACGCGAGAGCGCGTCGGCCACCACATTGAGTCTTCCGGGTTTGTACTCAACCCGGAAGTTATACTCTGCGAAGAATGAGAGCCATCTCGCCATCCGTTGCGAGATGTGCGGCGGCTTCACAGCCGTCCGCTGCGACGCGTGGTCCGTATAGACCACGAACGGTTTGCTTCCGAGTAGATACACTCGGAACTTCGCGAGTGCGTACTTCATGGCAAGGAGCTCCTTGTCATGTACCGGGTAGTTGCGCTCAGCTGGCTTCAGCTGACGCGATTGGTGGTAGACGACACGATCACGACCCTCGTGATCGTGCTGCATCAACGCACATCCGATTGCGAAGTCGGATGCGTCACACACTACGTGGAATGGGCAATCTTGGTCGGCTACCGCCAAGATCGGCGCCTCAGTCAAGCCCTGCTTGACTGCATCGAAGGCCTGCTGACTCTCAGCAGTCCAAATCCACTCGACGTCCTTCTTCAGGAGCTGTGACAGCGGGCGTATCATGCCCGCGTAGTCCTTCACGTACTTGCACAAGTACGTGGCCAAGCCAAGGAACTGCCGCAGTTCCTTGACGTTCGACGGCGTCGGCCACTCATTGATCACTCTGACCTTCTCAGGGTCAGGGCGGACACCGTTCTTCCCAACGAGACACCCGAGCACGGGTATCTCGCTCGCCCCGAAGATGCATTTCTTCAGGTACGCATAGAGCTTGTGCTTGCGCATGAGCGCAAGCAGCTTCCGGAGATGCACCTTGTGCATCTCAACGTCGCTCATCCCGTCCGCAGCTCGGCTGTGGACGAACACATCGTCGATGTAGCTCGGTGCGAAGTCGCGCACCGAGCGCAACAAGTGCGTCACGCACCTGTTGAAGGTCGCAGGGGCGTTCTTCAGACCCTGCGGCATCACTAGCCACTCCCAGAGCATGCCGCTCGGCGTGCTCACAGCCGTGAGAGGGATATCGCTCTCACGCATGAGGATCTGATAGAATCCATCGCGCAGATCAAGAGCACTGTAGATAGTGCTCCCGGCCATAGAATCGATGATTACATCTTTTCGCGGTATCGGTGTCTGCGCCGGTATCGTCGCATCGTTCAGCTTGTTGTACGCATGAACGATGTGCCAGCCGCCCTGTGGCTTCTTGACACAGAACGTCGGAGCACTGTGCGGGGACTTCGATTCCCGCACTTGTCCAGCTTTGCGGCGACTCTCAAAGAAGTCGTCGATCGCCTTGACCTGCTCTCGCGGCAGTGGCCACTGCCGCGTGAACAGTACTTCGTCCCCGGCACGAGATCAATCTCGTGCTGGATGCCCTTATCCTGCGGAAGCTCCGCAGGAATCTCTTCCGGAAGTACGTCCGCGTACTCCCGTAAGATCTCGTAGTAGGGACTCGTTTTCAACGAGTCCCAGCTCTGCTCTTCAAAGCGCTCCTTCTTCGTCTTCGCACTGAGAGTGTCCTCGCTCTCAGTGGTGGTCTCCATGAAGTACTGCCTCAGTTCTTCATTCTCGCTCTTCGTTCTCTCGGCGTCCGAGAGAATGCATATTTGCTCGATGCGTCCATCGTGCAAGTCACGCGCGAAGCGCTTCCAGCTCATGACTGGAAGCGAAGTCAACTCCGACGCTTGCGTCGGAGGGTTAGCGAGAGTCATCTCTCTGTACCGGAACCCGGCACAGGTACGCGTCAAGACGTTCAACGTCTCAACGTCCGGCTTCTCAGCCTCCGTCTGCCCGGCAGACATTCCTTGTAGCGTCTCGGCCCCAGGCCGAGACTTGCGTAGCGACCTTCGCATGCGCCGTCTTCTTGTTTTGCGGAGCCCGGCTCCGCTTGGTTCTTGACCTCGTCCAGGCCCAGCCGTGGACGGGTGTTCTTCTTGTATTCCGCCTGCGGGTTCATCCCGCGGGCGAGCGACTTCAAGCCCGGCTTGGTCGCCCGGCGCTTCGTCGTGCAGCCCGGCTGCACGACAGCATGCAAGTTTTTCCGGTGCGGGACGTTTGCAACCATCCGCACCGCCTGCAGCGTCGGCTCCCGGAGCCGACACGCCATCTTCACCTCGACGCCTGTTATTGGCGGAGCCCTCCATTACGGAGGGTGCGTCGGCTCCCCGAGCCGACGAATCAAATTCACCCAATCCATCGACTCCGGGAGTCGACGGCGTTTCGTCACTTTGGCTCTTATTATTGGCCAAAATTGATCCAATCAGATTCGCGTCAGCCTCCACGGCTGAGGCGTGTGACTCGCCTGCGTCATCCGTGCCCCTTGAGGTCGGAGACTCTTCCTGATTCGCTGAAAAGCGGGTGTCGACCTTCGAGATCAACGCATTTTCTCCTTCAGCCGTCGGCGGCGACGCCGACGCTTGCTGCTCTTGCGCGCGTGCTCGCACGCGCCCAGGGCGCTCCGGAACAGCGGCATTAGGCGCTGTCTTGACTGGAGAGTCGCGCGCACCTGTCGGTGCGTGCGTTGCGGCAACAGGGCCATCGCTCTCTGTTCCGCTATCGCAACCGAAGCGCACGAGAGTGCGCTTCTCCCAATCGATGACCGGATTATGCCGTGCAAGCCACGGCATGCCCAATACAATGTCAAACTTATCGTCCAGATCCAGGACGATAAAGGTCTCGACAAACTCATGATCTTCATACGTGAAGCGCACGCGTACCATGCGCTTCTCGGTCTTCACGACGGCACCCGTTGCCAGTCGTACCTCCAACATACTTCGAGGTATCTTTACCTCCTCGAAGTCAAGCCTTGATAGACTTCGCAGTCGAACAAAGTTGTTCGACGCGCCCGAATCAACCAAAGCACGAAGAGAGTTGCTCTCTCTTTTCGAAGACACGTTTGAGATGACAAGGTTCGGCTTGTCATCATGCATTTTGCAGTGAGAAGGGTCCTTACTGGGGGCTGCAGTCCTCAGTGTCGCATGTCCGAGTTGGACCCGCGTGACTGCTTCACCAGTAGGGCGCCACGCGCCTACTGGATTCCAGCGTTTTTTGTTTGTCCGCGACGATGCCCGGCATCGCCGCGTCGACCACCATCTCGGTGCACGGGTGCCGTGCACTCTCGGGCATAGTGACTGATCCTTCCGCAACGGAAGCATCGTACATTACTTCCTTGTTGCTGTTGATAACCAACAGCCGTTGCATTCGAGAGGTCCATTGGTTCCGGACCTCCCGCTATCGCGACCGGAGGCGGTTGCAGCCTCGGCGCATTCGCATGCAGTTTAGCCTGCCTCAGACTAAACTCCTCCTGCATTGCAAGAGTAATCGCAGCTTCGAGAGTACCTGGGTACTCACGGAAGAGATAGGTCTTTACAGACCCATCTCTCAGACCCTTCATGAACGTGACGACCTTGGTCGCCTCGTCTATCGGGTTGGTCACAATGTTCGAGACCAAGTACCGTGCTCTCTGCGCGTAAGCATGGACATCATGCTTACCCTGCTGTAGGTCGAGGAACTCTGCCCTCGACCGAAACTCATTTTGCGGGGGCTCAAACGCTTGCCTGAGCTCCTCCTTGAAACCCTCGTACGTGCTGAAGCACGTAGGATCAGAGAGTCGGCGTCCATACGCCCAACTTCTCGCTCGTCCGCCAAGGCATGACATGGCGAGCGCAACCTTGGACAACGGGTCGACGATACGTCGAGCCGCGATGGCAGTGTCGAGTTCGACAAGACAACGGAGGAGAGGCTCGCCCTCTCTTCCGACATAGTTGCTCACGTTTAGCTTCAACGATTGTCCACACGGTGTCGTCTCCGACGCCACCGTGGTAGAGGAAGCAGCATCACGCTGCTCCTTCATGATGAACCCCAGAGCAACACCATGTTGCTCTGTCGGCGATAGCGTACGCAGCATCGCAGCTACTGCCGCCTCCCCAATGACTGTTGACAGTCGTTGGAGTGTGGATCCGACAGGTGGAGGCAGTCAGCGCGTGCAACATGAGTTGCAGGCGAGGTGGAGCTTTCCATGGGCACCTCCGCGCTCATGAAAAGGTTCTCGGCTCCTCGTTCGTACAGCTCCGTACGAACGTTCAGGTAGTCGGTCGTTGGACGGACTACAAAGTGCTACCAGGTGTAATGGGCTTGGCTCACTACTACGGCTTACACGTATGCGCACGTGTATGAGGAAGCGTAGGTTTCTTTTACTTGAGTTAAGTATACTCGAGATCCACGAGTATAGTTTAAACAAGATAAAGACTCCAAGTAGCGTGTTTTGGTAAAAGATGAGAACTGCTATTTTGTTTTATGTTTCTGACTTCCTCTAAATGTAATATTCTAAGATAGGAATCTGCCAACGGCTGGAGGGCAGAATTCCAATGCTATGCATGTCGCTCATTGGCTAAGAGATGCTGTTCTCAGCCAATAGGAATCCTAAGTCTCTATGGACCACCCGTCGTGGTGGTCGTAAATGTATGTAGCCTTTGGTGTGTCTACACCAAGGTCGAGAAAGTCTTTCGAACCTCTAACAGACGTCGTATCTGTTAGAGTTACAAGTAACTGTAGCCACTTGTGCGTGTAACCCTGTTACAGGAGTGACGGGCGATGTCGACAGAGGTGTCAACCTCGACGACTTGCCCTCACCGTCTGCTCTCCTGGAGCTGGACGAGCTTTCCTTGGCCGAGTTCGGCGAAGCCTTGAAGGCTGGAGACTTGGCTGAAGTAGTGGTCATACGACCCGAAGAAGAGTTGAGCTCGTCCTCGCTTCGGGATGAAGCTGTCCTGGAAGACACCAATAAGGCGCTGAATGCGGGGAGCGGATCGGCGATCCTGAAGGACCCGTCGGATCCCTTGTATCAAGTGGTAAAGGATAACCAGGACGTGGTCTCGAAGGAGCCGCCCTCGGGGCTACCTCCGGATCGAGGTGTTCGACACGAAATCGATCTCGTTCCGGGAACGAAGTACTGCATAACGAGGCAGTGGCCCTTGCCGAAGGAGCAATGTTAGGTCATTGAAGCGTTCTTCCGTGCGAAGCACGAGGCGAGCATGGTGCGTGAGAGTAAGTCTCCACACTCTACGCCGACGTTCTGTGTCAGAAAGCTGAATGGCAAGTGGCGTATCGTGCATGCTTTCAACAAGCTGAATGCCGCTACCATTCCGGCGCAGAAGCCGATTCCTCGGAAGGATGATCTTCAGAACAACATGACAGGATGTAAGATGTACAGTGCGCTCGACTTGGTCGATGGATATTACCAATTGCTCATGAGGACGATCGACATTTCCTCTCACTGCGGTGAGTACTCCGAGCGGCATGCTCTGGGAGTGGTTGGTGATGCCCCAAGGGCTTTCGAACGCGCCAGCGACGTTTAATCGTCTTGCGACGCAGCTCTTCAGACCCCATCGGGCGTACGCGCAAACGTACTTCGATGACATCTTTGTCCACAGGTGCTCGAATGCATGCGTCAAAACAAGTTGTATGCCAACATTGACAAATGCATCTTCGGAGCGGAAGAGATCCCCTTCTTAGGGTGCTTCATTGGAAAGCGTGGCCGGAGGGCCGACCCGGTCAAGGTCAAGGCCATTGTTGAGTGGCCGGTTCCCAAGAACCAGAAGGATCTTCGCAAGTGGCTTGGCTTGGCCAATTACTTGCACAAGTACAGCGAGAACTACGCTGAGATGGCTCGGCCACTCTCCAATCTCCTGAAGAAGGATGCGGAGTGGTGTTGGGACACCGAGCATCAAGATGCGTTCGCGGCCATTAAGGTGAGGCGAGGCGAGGCCGATGAAACCTTTGTCACCCAGGGGGGGTTCGTATAGTGCAGCCCAAGACTGTTCCCCCGGGTATAGACCCAGAGAATCGACTTGAGAGTCAACAGCAAGAAGATAGACCCAGAGATTCGCAGCCGCAAAGCTTTAAACCCTGAGAATCACACTCCTTGGTTGGCGTGGGTACCTTGTGTAATCCCTGTCGGCTCGTTTGTCTTCGACGGAACGGCACTCCACCGGTTGTAAATGTAGCCTCGAAGAAGTGCGGGAGTGCACGTCTACTTCAGAACGTACCTCCACACCAAAAGGCAAACCCAGAGAATCAGATCCCCTGAAACCCAGAATATCACGAATTCAGGGTCCAGGATTTCAGTCAACTCTGGGACTTGGAACTCAGAAGACACCTTACCCCAATGCCCTCCTAGCTCGATAAAACCAACAAATACAGAGTATACAAACACTACAACTAGCCGTCACTTATTCTTTTGGACCCTTGGACGGTGAGTCACACACACACTAGGCTCACTCGAGTCTGAAATTCAGGGGCCTAGCTCCCCTGAGACTCACACAAACGCGCACCACCTCCAATAAAGGAGGAAAATACAATCACTATCAGTTACCTTCCCTTCACACAAGCAGTCAATACAAAATCCTGGAGGCGACTACCTAGCACCCCAGAATACCCTCTGGAATAATGTGAAATGGGCTACCACGAGCACAGCAAGTGACCCAACTAGGATATGGAATAGATGGATCACCCCAGGAAGCTCAAGGCCACCACCTAACTGGACTTGAGTTTGATGGAACCCACACAGACGGCTGTCCTTCGCCGTTGATGTGCCCTTAGCGTCCCGCGGTCGTAGTCTCGGGTCCTCCGGATTTCCGTCGGCAGGCTTGGCCGAAGTCACTTGCGCAGTACAGGGTAAAAGGAACTCTGTTTGGTTTTTATCAGCTACTTCTCTCTCTTTCTCTCTCTCTTCTTCGGGCAAATATCTTCTGTTCACTATGCTTGGGGTCAAATGTCTTGTCTTGAGTATACCTTGGGTTCAGCGGTCCAAACTTGCGATCGGCTTGCGAATCCATTGTCGCACGGCGTCGAAAGTGCCAATTGTGGGTCCTTAGACTTGGTCTAGTACGGTGCAGGACTCCCTTTCGACTCCTCGAAAGTATCCAGTCTGTGCATCCATGACGGTTCTTCAAGGTCACGCATCACTTTGATTGCAGACTGACTTCGAACTGACTCGAATCCCTGAAAATCAGGTGACACTCAGGGTCATCTTCTGAAATCCTGGGAACTCTGAGGAATCTTGGGGAGCTGTGGGGCTTCTTGGGTGTTGGCTTGGGAAACACTTAAGTTCAGTATAGAGAGTCTGGATTTATGATCCAAACCCAGAGAATCATCTTTGGAACTCTGGGTTTCCGTGCGGCACTCTGGGTAACAAGTCTGCTGCATTGCAGGCTCGCGTGTATCTCCACAAGGTCACACTTTTAGCGGGTTTAGCGGCCTCCTGCGCATGATCATGGTGATAGTGGGTTGATTCTCAGGGTAATTTGATCCTCTGGGGCACTCTGAGCCACAGCAAGATGAGGTGTACTCTGGGATACATTCGCCAGAGACTCTTTCCGCTAGACTTTAGGCACTCATCGTAAGGGAAAGTCCGCGGCTGGACGTGATAGTCCCTTTGGTTGCGCTTCTTATCGAATCTGTGGACAAAACCAACGCGTTAGGAATCCGCTGTTTGGCCTACAATCCCGATATGAATCCGCATGCGTATTGCCCATCTGTTTTGTTTGTCGGAGTTGAGGTTTTGGAGATGCAATGCTTCAAGAGCTACATCTCCACACTTCATGAGCAGCAAATAATCAGCAGATTGTTTTTTGACGAAGCTCATCTAGCTCTAACCGCTACTGATTATCGCAAATGCATGGCACATGTGCACTTTCTAACTTCCATCGCTGTCCAAAAAGACGTTGTTGTCGGCAACACTTCCTGTGGAGTGAGAGGATAAGCTTGCTCTACATTTTGGGTTTGAATTTTTACAATTCGAACACCCACGTTTCGGTCTTCTTTACGGTATGCAGTTACGGAAGCGACAACAGTGAAACAAATGGAGCAGTCGTGTCTGTCAGTGGTCCAAGTGCCGTTACCGCATCCAGATAAGGGGATAATATTTTGCTTCACTAGATCAGACGTCGAACGATTGGCTGGAATCATAGCCCACCACTCGGGCCAAGACGTTGCTCGCTATCATAGCGGAATGAGCCACCTCGACCGCGCGGAAAACGTGGAAAAGTGGAAATCTACTGCGTGTTCTTACATCGTAGCAACGTCTGGTTTCGGGCAGGGTGTGGACTACCCATCAGTCCGAATCGTGATTCACTATGGATTGACACATAGTTTGATTGATTACGCTCAAGAAACCGGACGTGCAGGACGTGACAACAAACCGGCTGATTGTATTGCAATTTACTCGGATGCGTACACTCTTCGATTTAAAAATCTCGTTCCAAAAGCATCCGAAAGGGATGCACGCGCCCTTGCAGGAAGCAATGGACGGATCAAGCCTTCCGTGTACTGCTAGCGACGCCACCCGACCATGCGATGTGTGCAGTACTACGCAGGCTCGCCCCCCAGAACATATTTGTACTGCTGCTACGCCTCAATTTATAGCAGAAAGTATGGTGGCCAATTCCCTCCATCAGTCGGACCTACTGATTTACATGACGCTGCAGCAGTTTATTTCGAACACGAACCCGCTATTCTGCTTGGTGTGCTGGACATCCAACCCACTCAAGCGTGTGCACCATGATCCCAGTCAATGCTCACTCCAGCGTCGGCGGTGTTTTAAGTGTCTCGGAAACGATCATGGGTCTTTGGAATGCTCCTGCATTTTACGCTTTAGCGCCAACTCCTCTTCTTGTTATATTTGTGGGCTACCTCTCGGCGATATCCTTGGTAAATCGCCAATACACTTCGGAAGCAAATCGGGGATGCAATGTACAACACGTCTCCGAGGTAAGATGATTCCCAGTGTTTGGACGTTTTACGACTGCTGCAAAGCAAAACCAAGTGTGGGTACTGGGTTGGAGGCTCAGATTCGTTGCTTTACAAGGGAAGAGTTTTCGAAGTGGCTCGTAAAAACACCCACAGGAAGGGTATTCACGAATTTGTGCATTGTTTGGGCTCACATTCTAGCACAATACGGATGTTACCCCCCACCATTTGATTTTGGTTCATCCGCATAGCCCAGAAGCTTAACATGCGATTCCAACCTTTGAACTAGAATTTGCGGTGCTCACGGTTCCGACTAAACCAAATATGAGCTATTTCTCAATTGTTCATGCTAGGCTTCATTCGTTACTAAGCGTATTGCGGAACCGCTATTAATCTTGATTCATTCGCGCTTGCAAATCTCTCCGTCCAGTCAACCCCATCGTAGTTGAACCAGATAACGTCGTTCCCCCGTGGGCAAGTCTTTGGTTAAACAAAGACTATAGGGCTATAGTTGGTGACATAGTTGGTCTAAACTGAGTATATAGTTGGCGACGCACTGAAGCCGCTATTGTAGTTGGTGACACAGTTGGTTAAGCCGAGCATATAGTAGCCGGTCGAGTTGGTTACACTAGAGCTAGTAGTTAGTGACGCAGTTGGTGATTTTGTTGATGACCAAGTCGGTGATGCTGGCATTGTAACGGATGTTTCAAATGGTGGTCGGTCTTCCGTTTTAGTAGTCTGGATCGGTTTAGGGGTTCTACTATTCCTTAGGGCGCTTCTATTGCTTAGCAATATCGACACCACTATGCGCTTCATCCCAGTTTGGCATGGTTTTACGGATACAGTACATCTTCTCCCCGCTGCACCCGAAACGTCTATCCAGCAAATCCTTCACAGTATAACAACAACGGGAGCTCGTTTGAGGTTAAAGTAGACCCGGAATTTCATTGCTGCTCTAAACCCCGTCTTTCAATCGTAGCGGCCTTTTATTTTTAGAACACTCCTGAAAAATAGCGGGGGTGCTTCTAATCGTAAAAATCCGTTAGTTGGTGAGGTCAATTGATAGAATTTGTATTAGCAAGTGCAATCATCACAGCACCTACTGTCAAATTCCATTAAGGATATTTATCTCTTGATGAAAGTTTCTTGCTTAAAGTGCCAATAATGCTAAACGAGATCCGAGTACGTGCGCGGGTGTCCCTGGTGCACGCTGCCGACATGCTGCCGACATATCATCACACGTTTCGCGAACGGGTCCAAGCTAACTACGGAGGTACCGAGCATGGACATATGTGAAGGTGGCGGTGATATCGAAAGATTTTCCGCAGCGAGGATCTCGGTCAGGCGGTCGTAGTTGACCGAGTGGTGGTTGACGACACTCCTGTCTAGCACCAGACGTCGACCTTCGAGACGTATCTCCGACAGAGAGTCAATCGAGTCGCGGCACGGCGGTGGTGAAGGCGCTCGTGGTGCTGATCTCCTATGAGAAGGACTCGGCCAGCTTCCGATCCAGCAGCACCACGCGCGTCGCGATATTCGCCAGCTCAATGGACGGCTCGATAATTAACACGCCCTATTCCATCAGGTACTTACTGAAAGTGCAGTCAGGGATGACAGCGATTCTGCGCGGATGCTCTTCTCCAAGTAGGGCCTTCGTCGTCCGGACATGCTCCAGCGTACGCATGCCGTCACCCATGAAGATCAATACATCAGCTGATGGCATTCTCGCACCTTGTTCTTGTACTGGATCAGCTCGGACCAGCTCGCCCTTGACGGATTTCCATAAAATGGTCTCGTTGATCATATTTCACTTGTCAGCTTGTTCCTTGTGTAGCAGTGGCACGTGACTTGGGCTCCATAGAGTGACAGCTCAAGCGGTTAGATAGTTGGAACCCAGTTGGTAAATCACCATGATGTGAATGTTTGTGTATCGAACATAACTTTAGTTGAAATTGTTTCGAATCGACATGCTGGTATATACTATCACCTAGTAGTTAACTGTAGTGGGCGCGATCGACATGCAGCATTCGGCTGAGGATTACCGTTACTTACTTGGCTGCCATCCCTGGCATGCGGCAACCAACAACCGTATCCACCCTTTAACCGTTCTTTAGTACGGGTATTTTGACCACCTACGTAGCAATCAATCATGGACCGAGTGCCGAGCGAGCAAGAAAATCTCCCGCTTCTGGCCAAGTCCTGGGGTGCACACACAGCAAACAAACAGCCATATCTTCCTCACCACTTTAGTGAAGAAATGGTTGTTGTTTTTTGCTCGGCAAGCGTAGCGGCCACCGCCAATCGTGGGAGCTCTGGACCACTTAAGCGCTCATTGATCGCTCTAGCGAGCTCATGGAGCTGATTCGGGCGGCCTATCTCTGCTCGATTGACACCCTACGTCTCAAACAAAAATCCAGCTCTGCGTTGGATATCGTCTTAAAACTATCACGTTGAACAAGGAATACTGGGTTGATACAGATAATGACTGCCGTTTCGCCCAATTCACTGACAAATTAACTCCGGGAAGACTAAAACGTGGTAAACTTATCGCCACAAAGCAACTTTCTCCTGAGGCCGAGTCGTCGTAGCTGGCGGGCGGTCTTGGAACTGGACCCGCCCCAATTCAGCCCGGTTCCAAACCAACGACTGGTGGGGCGCTGCCAACTACCCAGTCCGTCATCAACTATATATTCAGCTTCCCCAACTAATTCACCAACTGTAGCTCTCGTTTAACCAGCTCGGCTATCAACTACATAGCCGGCTTCGCCAACTCGGTTACCATCTATATACCCGGTCCGTCACACAAGTATATATACAGCTTCACCAACTAACTGTAGAGCTTGTTTTACCTACTCGGTTACCAACTATATCCCCGGCTTCTCCTGCGTGTTCACCAACTAGCTTCACCTACTATATCACCCGTCTTACCAATTCTATAACTTACGGTATCAATTGTGTCACGCTTTTAATGGGCGCGCTCCGTCATACACTGGCTGAGCTGGAAATTGCTGGTACTTCCTATTGAAAGGGTAGCTCTAGCAACTACCTACAATGTTGGAACTAAGGAGAGGGACCACTATGATGCGAAGGTGCTTCGGTTCTGATGCGCTCTTGTCATGAGACGGCGAAAATGGTCCCGTTGACTGAATCAAGTGCACCTTCGGAGCTCACACGAGCTGGACTCGTGCCCCTCTCTCACTTAGAAACGCAGTGTTGTAAGAAACCGGAAATGCGTCGACAACTTCATGCTGGAACGCTGCAGAACTGCATAAAGCTGAAAAAGATACCCAAACAGGCCCGACCCCTTGCCTTGGCTCCTTGATAAATGAGTGAATGGGCGAGACTCCCACAGCACCGGATAAGTCTCGTAGCTGCAGTCCAAACTGCAATGCACGTTGCTACCGGTGCGGGGATATTCGCCAGGACCACAAAAGGGAGTCAAAATGGTGGCCGTAGTGATAGGATGGCTCAACATTTTTTTATGACACTTTAGTAGCGCGAGGACTGTGGCACACACTTGTTGCGAGTCCGTAACCGACAAGAAAAATTGGTAGCATTAGCGTGCTCATCCTAACAAACTCCCTTGGCCGGCGGCGAATGCTCGCGGATTTCATCACGCTGCCCCCAGTCTCAGTGTGGGACGTCGGCCGGCTCTTTACCATCCAGTTCAGAACTGGGAAATATTCGGGATGTCGAGCTGTGAACCCATGGTGTTGTATGAAGCCCAGGATCGCCATGCAATAACGTAGGATCGATAGAATTCAAAAGTTCCAGCAAAGGAAGACATTCGTAGCTCCTTGGATACTTAAAATTTGTTTTTTAAAAGGGATATCGGGGCCTTGGCTTGGGTCGCCCTCGGAGCCCAGCCCGTCCGGAGAGACAAAGTGACAGAAGCAAAGGAAGACATTCGTAGCTCCTTGGATACTTAAATTTTGTTTTTTAAAAGGGATATCGGGACCTTGGCTTGGGTCGCCCTCGGAGCCCAGCCCGTCCGGAGAGACAAAGTGATCGTTAATGGCTCCGGGCCTCTTTAGAGATTCAAAGCACGAGGTATCGAGGATAGCGACTAAAATTCTGCTGTCTTGGGGAATATACCCATCATCAAGCAGCAGAATCGATGGCTGTGTGGGGAAAATAGTAGCCAATTCAGAAAACCTAGTAGAAAATGGAGAAGCAGCCATGGTCGAAATGAAATCACAGCTCTCAATGGGCTTGACGTCCTCCATCGGATCATCTGATCGCACGAACGTGTAGACTTCACACCAGAAAACTTGCACATAGGTATCATGGCGAGATCTTGCACCTGAAGCCGAAGTCGGTAGACAGAGCACCCTTAAGTAGCTCTAATTTTGAAATTGTAACTTTTAATGAGCGCGCTCCGTTATACACGGCTTGAGTCATGCTGGCTACGCTGGTACTTCCTATTGAAGGGGCAGATTTAAGACTGAGGGAGAACCTCTTACTCCACAAATGGGACCAAGATGGCTGAGCAACCGCCACCATGTTTGACGCACCACTGTTGGTTGCTCTTAGACTCAACCACAGCTGCCATGGATGATTTCTAAATACATCGACCAGTCCTACCGAGCTGGCGCCTCCTCCTTTGTCCTAAAATGTCGTAGTTGTTAGGTTGGCCACGAGGCATAGGCAACTTCTTTGAGCCGCCGCTACCGACGTTAACCCATTACAAGCTAGCAAAAACAACGGGTCGTGGCCCCGTTGAGAGTGCTCATGCATCGCTGATCGCGCGCTTGGGACGTGTCATGTCCGCACCCATTCTTGCGCTGCCACAGGTGCAGCATTTAGACGCAATCTGCAGCCATAACTGTGCCATTACATCCCTCAAAACAGTTTGGTCAAGCCGGATACATGCGCAATCGCTCCTAGCCGTTCGTTGCCTCCTACCTTCTAGGTATCGAGCGACTCAGCTATAAGTGACAACAGCTCCGAAGGGCCTATATCGCTGGTCCTGCTCTGACACGGTCTCGTTGTCTGTGCTTAAACTACTCGGGTGGGTCCATCTGCCCAGTCATGGATGCGAAGATCTTCGAGCCGCTGTTGTTCTCAAACCGCTAAATGGACTTGGGCATGCGCGAGAATGACTTCGAGCCCTTGCTGTCCTCACACTTGGTTTTGCGCTTGGACTTTATCTGCTAGCACCCGCAAACAGGTTAGCGGCTGCTCAACCAAGGCGGCCACACCCAGGAGATGGTCCGTGCCGCCAAGGCTACTTTAAAAAACCACTCGAAAAATAAACAAACACACACACACAAATTTGAAATCTAAGAGAGATCTAGGCATATAAAGGTTGATTCACGGGCATCTTAGCTTCCGTAAGGCATAAACCTGCAGTTGTTGCTACTCCGACGTACAATGAAGCTGTCGTTCACATGCTGCACGCGTCACAGGCTCTGCGCTTGGACTTGATCCTCTGTGTGTATGTGTCGTTAGCTGCGTGTGGCGGGCTGCCGGCACCACGCTGCACCTACATGGTTGAGCTCGCCGCTATACCTGCGCTTGGACTCGAGGACCCTAGACGCGGCCGCGACAGCGTCGCATCCGCTCTCACCGGCTTCACTAACTTGATCGAGCCGTTAACTTGCTGGGAGGGCCACGTTCCACTCTCTCTGTTAACATGCTTGGTGTGCCATTGCTCGTTGCGCAGAGGCTCGACCGCTGGAGCCACAAAGATGCCGTTGCTACCAGCGACGCGCTCGTGCGTCACTTGGGCTTGTGCTGCAGTCGCTCTGGACCGACGGATGGTCCGGATGCATTTTGATGTATTTGTATATGGAGGGGGGTATTTATCAATATGTAGAGGTCAATAAACATTAGAAACAGAAAAAACAATGTATGTGTGTTTTCACTTAGCCGAAATGCACATAAGGTATCAGGGTAAACAGGTAGCAGTGGACGATACTATCAGTTATTACAAACCCTAGAAAACTCAAACAAATTCCATAATATTCCCAAAACAACTTAGTTTGGGCACCGGGACCCCGGATACATGGCAGCGGGACCCCGGATACCCAAAATACCTACCGCTGTGGGACCCCCGGGACCCCCGGATGCACGTGCATCCGCCCTGTAATATATATAGCGTCCCGCCGTACATATTACGTCAAACAACTCTTGCGCTATCCAAAATCCACTCAAAATCGCCCAAAACTGCTTCATGCACGATAATTCGCTTACTAGCACTGTTGCCCCCAACCTACCCTTACAAATTGTATACTATCACACATGCCCCATGTACTACTATGTACACCACTTCTCATAGTCAAATGTACTTTTATTGTTTTTGCGACACCCATATTGTGGCAATTGTATGGCTCTGCCAAGCAGACATCAGGTAAAGGAAAACCGACCCATCTCTGGCACATGGGAGTGGTACCATCGGATTCCCCGTTTACGAAAACCTATATGTCCAGGTTTTCATGACTTGGTACCCAATATTGGCTCCGTTGCTATTTTGGGCTCTCTGAGCCGTCTCTGGCACATTGGAGTGGTACCACTGAATTCCCCATATAAGAAAACCTATATGTCCAGATTTGCACGTCCTGGTACCCAATATTGGCTCCGAAGTGTACCCATCCAAATTTTAGCCAATGAGAAGCAGTTTCACTGGCAGGATTTATCACGACTATGCACATACCCTAATTCGGGTAGTTCGAGGGGGGGGGGGGGGTCGGCTGCTACTTTTCAAAAAAATTTCTAAGTCTT